CCCCAAATCAGTGTTCCAGCCCAGACCTCTCAGCCTTTCTCCAGCCCGATATCTCAGCTGTTTATCAGTCACCTTATTTTTTATTCACCAGGACCTCAAAAATTCAGATTGCCTAAATTAAACTCATCATTTTTTCAGATTTCTTTGTCAACTTCATTATAACATAACTCTAATACATGTTTTCAGAACCCTAAATCTTTAAGCTTTTAAATTAAAGGAGCTTAAATCTGGAAGCCTTGACTTTTTTTTTTTTTTTTTTTTGGAATTTAATGTGTGCTATGGACCCAGACCGATATATGCACACATAGTTCTGTATATCAATTAGTTGTATTTCTTGTAGCATATCCAAAGATCCCAGACCAATAACCCCTTGAAAGATAATAATATATGTTTCTCTTTTTTGTTGAGACGGAGTCTTGCTCTGTCACCCAGACTGGAGTGCAGTGGCACCATCTTGGCTCACTGCAACTTCCGCCTCCTGGATTCAAGCCATTCTCCTGCCTCAGCCTCCCAAGTAGCTAGGATTACAGGTACGTGCCACCACACTCGGCTAATTTTTGTATTTTTAGTAGAGACAGGGTTTCACCATGTTGGTCAGGCTGGTCTCGAACTCCTGACCTTGTGATCTCCCTGCCTTGGCCTCCCAAAGTGCTGGGATTACAGGAGTGAGCCACTGCACCCATATTTCTACCCTCCTTCATGTCATCAAACTCTTCTAATTCTTTTTATTCAAAGTATTTTTAACAGTTTCCTCTTTTGTTTCCATTTCCACTGCCTTTGTCCAGCTCAGTCTTAGTCAAATGGCTTAATATCTGGAGAACTGAAAGAGTCTTCTAATTGGCTAACTCTAGCAATGGGAGATCTTTATAAACTTTTGTCTTCACTTGATTAAGATCTATGATATTGAAAGACAACGTAATTGAGAATTCTTATTTAGGGTTGGTATAATGTATAAAATGTGTTATTTAATGGAAAACAGCTTGCTCCTATCACACTTGGATAAAAATTCACCAGTAAAATCACCTGGGCCTGAATATTTTTATGTGTGTGTGGGGGGATGATGGTGATGGTGATGTTTATGATAATCAATGTATGATTTAATAAACATTTTTATTCATTTTCTGAAGAACAATTTTGGTAAGCTTTAGTTTTCAATAAATGTTTTCACTTTAAGTTGTTAAATTTATTAGCACGAGTTTGTTAATGTATTCTCTCATTATCTTTAATGTCTTGAATATACAGTTATAACACATTTTTTAGTGCTGTTATTGGTAAACTTTATTTTCTATTCTTATAATCAATCACTTTGGGAGGCTGAGGCAGGTGGACCATTTCAGGTCAGGAGTTTTCAACCTCACCAACATGGCGAAACCCTATCTCTACTAAAAATACAAGCATTAGCCTGGCATGGTGGCACACACTTGTAATCTCAGCTACTCAGGATGCAAAGGCAGAAGAATTGCTTGAACCCAAGAGATGGAGGTTGTAGTGAACAGAGATAGTACCACTGTACTCTGGCCTAGTTGACAGAGTGAGACTCTGTCTCAGAATAAATAAATAAATTAATTTAATTTAATATCAGTCTAATTAGGAGTTTGTCAGTTGTGTTGAACTTTGAAAATAACCAACTTTTTGCATTATTCTTTTTCTATTTTTCTGTTTTCTATTATAAAGATTTCTGCTTTAATCTTTATTATTTCTTGTTTCTACTTACTGTAAGCATACTTCTTTTCTGTCTTCTTATGGTAGAATCTTAGATCACTGATTTTAAACTTTTCTCTTTTTCTAATATAAACATTTAAAACTCTAAGTTTCCCTCTAATCACTGCTTTAGCTGTATCTCAGAAGTTGTAATATAGGTTATGGGAAATTGTGATATGAAATAGTTATAATATGTCATATATTTTTATTACACAATTTTAAATATTTTAATTACTCTGGTGATTTCTTTTTGACCTATGAATTATCTAGAAATATATTGCCAAACATTTTTTCATTAATAGCATATTCCTTTTGAGTTATAACTAATTCCAATGTCATCAGAAAACATACTCTATATGAGATCAATTATTTCAAATTTATTTAAACTTGTTCTGTGACTATTATATATCAGTGAATGTACCATGTACACTCGAAAAGAATGTTTATTCTGCAGTTGTTGAACGTAGAGCTAAACAAATATTAATTATATCAAGATGTTTGATATTATTGCCCGAATCCTCTGTGTCGTTAATATTTTTTAAATCTAGCTTAATCAGATGTTAAGAGAGGAGCCTTAAGATCTACTGTGATTTTGAAATTGTCTGTTTATTCCTTTAATTCTGTCCATTTTTGCTTCATGTATTTTGAGGTTCTGTTCTTAAATGCATATTCATTTATAATTGCTGTGTCTTCCTGATGGATTCTCCCTCTTATAACTACAAAATTTCCATTCTTTATCTCTGACAATGCTCTGTGATTTGATGTCTATTTTATGTGACATTAAGATAGTTATTCCGGCTTTCTTCTGCTTGCTGTCTGTATGGGATATCTTCTTTCCATGTACTTACTTTCAATGAATCTGACACTTTATATATAAAGCATATCTCTTGAAGATAACACATAATTGAACATTGCTTTCATAAATTATTTCTGAAAAACTGTTTTATTTGAACATTTCAGCTATTAAAATATGATGTAATTATTGATGTGGTTGGATTTGGATCTACCATTATATTACTGTTTTCTTCTTTGTCCCTATACTTTTCTTTCCTATAGTCCCCCTTTTGTCTTCTTTGGATTACTTGATATTTTTAGCATTTTGTTTCAATTTATGGGATTTTTTTAAAGTTATACTCTTTGTGTTTTTATTATTAGTTACAATATAATCATTAACTATGACAGTCTACCTATGGTTAGTATCATACCACTGCACGTGAAGTATAGAAACTTGGCAGTCCTAAGAAGTCCTTTGTATTATCACTGTCATCTGTATTACCTCTATGTGCCTTAAGAACATAGCAAGACAATGTTACGATTTTTCTTTATAAATTTGTATATATAGTTGTATATGTTTAAGAAGAAAAATAAATATCTTTAATATTTATTAATAGAGTTACCATTGCTGACATTCTTTATTCATTCCTGAGTATCTGTGTTCTCTTCTGGTATCATTTCCCTTGAGCCTAAAGAATTTACTTAAGCAGTTACTGCAAGAAATTATATTTTTTTTTTCTTTACCTGAAAATACCTTTATTTCACCTTCATTCCTAGGGGACATTTTCTATTCTGGGTTGTCAGATTTGGGGGGTGGGGTGTTTATTTGTTTCTCTTTTTTGTTTCTTATTTTCTAGCTTTCATTGTTTCTGGAGAGATATCTGTGGCTATTTAAATCAACATTTTTCTTTATACAATGTGTTGCTTCTCCCCAACCTGTTTTTAACATTTTTCTCTTTATCTTTGGCTCTCAGCCATTGGATTATTATGTATCTAAGTGTGTTTTTCTCTGAACATATTTGGTTCAGGGTTTCTTGAGTTTTTGAATCTGTAAATTTTTTTTCACCAATCTCAGAAAGATTTTGGCCATTATTTCTTCCTCTGCCCTCCTTCTGGGACTCTAATTACCTAATATTGTCACACTAGTCCCTGAGACCTGCTCGTTTTTCATCTTTTTTTTCTCTCTCTTCTTCAGTTTGATCTATCTTCAAGTTTACTGACTCATTCTTTTGATATTTTCTATTCAGTTCCTTCAATAATTTTTTATTCTATATATTCTACTGTTGTTTTAATATTTCTGCTTTGATTTCTTCTTATGTGTTCTATCTTGCTGCTAAGATTTTCTATTTTTTGTCCATTTCTTTTACTCTATTGAACCTGGTTGGAAATAACTATTTTAAAATATTTGATAATTTCAACATCTGCTTCATCTCAAGGTTTGCATCTGTTCATTGTCTTTTCCATCTAGAATTGGTCGTATCTTCCTAGTTTTTTGGGTTAGAGTATTCTGTATTCTGGACATTGTGAGCCTATGTTATATAGACGCCAAGTTTTGTTACAGTCCTCTGGAAAACATGGTTTTTATTTTAGCAGATGATTAATCCAAGTGGATTCGCACTTTAAACTCTCTCATCAATGTATATAGAGAAAATGGAATATCCGTGAGGATGAGTCTGAATTTCAGGATAGAATGTGTTTGGAGGAGAGGGCAATGGAACGGAGAACACTGTACATACTGCACTCGGAAGTCAATAATTCAATGTTATTTAATTTTTACCATTACATGTATATGATACATATAATCCATTTGTGCTATAGATATATAATATTTGGAACATACATATATTTATTTATAATATATAATCTGACAATTTTACCATGTTTTAATTTTTCTAAGAAAACCACAACTCCGGTAGTCCTTCTTTGAATTCCCAGAAGAATTCCAGATTCTCATACTACTACTGCTTATCAAAATGTCATTACACGTGCCAGACATTCTGCTAAGCAGTATAAATAACTTTTTTTTAATCAAACTTTATAGCAACACCACCAGGTAGGCATTGTTTTTATTTACAAATGAGGAAACGGAGGCTCAGAGAGGTTAAGCAACTTGCTCAGGGATACACAGCTATTAAGGGGGTAGAGATGAGATATGAGCCTAGGTGGGACTCTGTCTCCGCTTTTGATATCACAGGTTGCCACCCAAGTGGAATTAGATGATATTCGTCTTTTAAATGACAGAGTGAGGAGAGAGAGAGCGTGGCATCGCAAAAATAAGATTCACGTCAAAGGGGAGACAAGTATTCTAATTCTAGTTTGAGACAGACTTACTGCAAAACCTTGCAACCTTCTCAGCTGTTCTTTCTTCTTCCACTGTGTCTACAACAGAAATAAAAATGTACTTCACAATAACTTTCAGAACTGTTGTAGAAATAAAATGAGATGAGCTATGAACGTATAATGAAAATGTAAATGATGGTAATGATATTTAGCCCAACTCACAAACTAACACTTCCTTTTCTAAGTTTTACAGTTAAGACTTCAACAAAGAAGGACCCAGGAACAACTGGCTAACCAAGGCATAATACCACGTGAGTATCTGCATCTCTTAATTACTGATATACATGGGGCCACACCATTTGGGAGCTGGAAAGTGCCTCAGAGGCTGCTTAGTCTAAGCCAGTGCATTGGTCTCCCGTTGTCTTCAAAGCACTGGTATCAGCAGAAATCCCAGACCTGGGATGCTTTGCCCTGACTGCTACCTACACACCTGCAAGGGGCTCTTTTTAATGATACTGGTTATGCCTAAAATTCCAATGTAGTGGATTTGTTCTTAGGGTAAACACAATTCATTACGGGCGCCCCCGACTCATCTACTTTTAAAATGAATATAATTGGCCAGGCGCGGTGGCTCACGCCTTTAATCCCAGCACTTTGGGAGGCTGAGGTGGGTGGATCACGAGGTCGAGAGATCGAGATCAGTCCTGGTCAACATGGTGAAACCCTGTCTCTACTAAAAATACAAAAAATTAGCTGGGCATGGTGGCTCGTGCCTGTAATCCCAGCTACTCAGGAGGCTGAGGCAGGAGAATTGCCTGAACCCAGGAGGCGGAGGTTGTGGTGAGCTGAGATCGCGCCATTGCACTCCAGCCTGGGTAACAAGAGTGAAACTCCGTCTCAAAGAAAAAAAAATTAATATAATTAATATTCTTTCCAGAAGCATCAGTCACATCATCTTTTTCTCACCTCCTCAGTTTCACGTTCTGTTTGGGGTATTTGAGTCTACAAGTAATTGAATATTGTCAAGTATTTCCTCTCTAGAAGGTGGATTTATGCTATCATTTTTAGCATAAATGATATATGGAATATATGATGATATGTTCATATCATTATATGAACATGAATGATATGTTCATATATCATTTATTATATATGAACATTATATAATAATTCATAATTATATAATGAATTACTGGCCACAATCTGGATAAAAGAAGAAGGATTATTATATCTTTTAGACGATTATATTTTAAATTGTCTACCAATCCAGCAATGAAAGCTAACTCTTGGTTATCTGTGGGAATAGAGGAAAGGGTACCCTGGATGAATAAGTCATGGGTGAAACTGCTCTGGATTATACATTCTAACTTCCTCTCCAACAAAATTTAAAAATCAAGATCTATAATGACTTGTGTAGAAATTCATCTGTCTGTAAAATGCTATTGGGACTGCTACTTCAGAGTTCAGTGTACAACAAGCGGAAGTTTGCCGTTGAAAAATTGTTATGGGGATAGTTATACTGAAACCCTATAACCCATGGCTAAACGTTTAGAGTTTAATCTTTGTTTCAGAGCCAGAACAGAACTAAGAAGTTTTCTGGCCTTTTGTTTTGTAATTCAAAAGTAGTCCTTTGTTCATGGCTAAGCTCTGCAAGTAGTAAACAGTAGGTGACCTTAAAGTGGGACGACTCTTTCAGAGGTTTGTAAAGTACAAAGGAAACAGCTCATCCCGCGATTTCAAGGCTGTTTAAGCAACGTTTACAACTATGCTGAGGAACCAAAGGAAGAAGGAGCAAGTCTATGTGTGGCCTGATTCATCTTAGCCTCTCCTTGGAGGTGCTAAAGACAGGGAGAAACCGAAAGCCTGCAAATGACAGGTCAGGTCCAGACAATTTCACTCAAAGCTGATAATCTATCTCTTCCCTGATATTTTTTTCTCTTTAATGCTGGAAAGGCAAATGGAGCAGATGAGCCCACGACCTTTCCGTAAGCCCAAGTTGTACACATCTGATTTACAGTTTGACTCGTGTGCTTAAATACTCTGGGCCTGGGTCTTGCAGCTGGCATTTGGCTGAGAATAAACGTTTTTTGAGGGATACAGGGTTAAATCTGAAAATTAGTAAAAACACCTGGTAAAGATGGTAATTAACCCTATCCTACATTTTAACACCTATCCTGTAAGTTATACAAATCAAATGTTCATTTGTGTAGTAGAGTCCGATGAAGCTACAATATTTTGTTCTCTAGGAATTCTAGAATCAAGTAATATAAATATTAACAAAATAATGCTTAATAGACATTTTGCATCTTTAGTTCATTGCATCATTAAGATAATTTCTAGAAAAAAAAAACCTACAAATCATGAAATAATGAAGCATTTTTTAAAGTACACACTACGATAAAGGTTTATCCCAATCTGCAGCTACCTCCTCACAACCAGGCTTTCCGAGAGTGTAGATTCTGCTGGGGAAAAGTGTCCAAGTCAGGCAGGTGCACACTGCAGGCCCTGCCTGTACAGACCTTTTCTCATAGCTCTTCTCAGGAAGCTAGAGATAGGAGGCATCTCTTCCCCTACCGATGGTCAGCCTCTTCAGCCCGATCAGAGATTAAACATGCAATCTACATGCATTTCAGCAGACCAGTATGTTTCCTTTGCCACCTAAGGGAACATGTCTAAATGCAAACGATTGGGAGAAGGAAGGAAGAACCAAGGGGCTCAGGATCTTTTCGATTTAGTATAATTCAACAAATGTTGTTATAACCCAAACTATGTACAGGGGACTGCGCCAGCCACTTTAGGGAAGACAATGATAAGCAAGATGGTCCCTCAGAAAAAGTCAAGATATATGGGGGAAAGCTGATAAACAGCACACCGAAGCACTAATTCAGTGTGCAACTCATTACCTTTCACAAGAAGACTTTCTTATTTCTTCACTCCATGATTTAAATTTTTTTGAAACAGAAAGTAAAAGAAGAGGAGGAAGAATGGGAGCAAGGAAAGTTAGTCCTCAGAGCCTACCTAATTATGTGATTCTTCTAATTTTTTAATTGTTAAATCTTATACACTATGTATATGTGTGTGTGTGTATATATATAGTGCATACACATATATATACTGCATAAGATTTAACAATTGCATATACACACACACACACACACACACACATATAGTACATATATGCAGAGATAGAAAAAGGTGCCCTGGATTTTACACACACACACACACACACACACACACACACACACTGATTGAGGCAGTGTCAAATGTCTCTGCCCCATTTACTGGGCCTCTCCTTGTCCCTTCCAGAAGCCCCCTGATAATTTTCTCTACAGTGCTGGTTCTCTTCAGAATGGAGTTTGCAAGCCCCTGACATATCCGAATTCCTGTTCATGAAATTGAGGTTGAAGAGACCTAAGAGATTTTTTCAGATCTAAAGCCTAGATCTAACGTGGTCCCATTTTCTACAGTTTTGATTTATGAGAATGCAAATGCAGTCCAGATAAAATTATTTGTAAAATCTCACTTTGTTAATAAAATTAGAAATAGTCACAGTCTTTTTAAACATGCCATAAATTGTCAAAACTCAAAGCTGATGGCTAAGTGGACTGTACACTCTCCTTATCAAATAGCAATACCATTTTTAACTGGTCAACAGAAGCACCTGCCACCAATTAGCATGGAGTTTTACATTAGGTTAAATCTTCAGGGCTCGTCCACTCCATAACATGCAACCCCCTCCTATTGTGGAGGGTTGAGGCCAGAACCTGTGTCTCCTGATCCCTGCCTGGGCTCCTTTTCTCAAACGTTCAAAATGAATCACTTGCCCTTTAAAAACACTTACTTATTTCGTATCATAAGACATTTTATGGCCAAAAAACTTTAGAAAAATTAAAAAGTGTATAATGTGTGAAAATGCCAAAGATAAACCACTGATTTAAATGAAATGACATCATAATCTGTGCTTTGCCATGATGAGCATTGAATGAAATATTTCGCTGACTTAGCTGTATGGCAGGTCTCACTTCAATTGCATTCCAAATTGATAATTAAATTATAAGGCTCCTCCCCCACTGACTCTACTGAGTCGTGTGTAATTGCAGTAAAACTGATCCAAATGGATTGAAATGTTCTTCCTTCACTTTCCCTGGGCATATATCCTGCAGATTTTGAGGTTGCTGCTGAGTAATAAACAGTCTTTAGCAACCAGCAACAAATTCTTTTTTATAATCTCTGTGAATGACTTCTTTTAAACATTCACTTTGTTCTTATGTGTGTGCATGATGAGTTTAGGATTTCTCTCTTTACATTTTTTGAATGAATTTAAAGGCATCATCTCTTGACTTTTAGTCAAGACAAGCAAGGTTCTGAAGCCGGCATGTAATCCCTAGCACAACTTTAAACAGTGGGTCAAGGGTTCTCAGACCAGGTGCAATTTACAATAGCAGTTGTGAAATTCACATTTTCAAAATCATCACGAAACGTTAGCAAAATATCCTCTCAAGGTCAACTCAGAAATATTACTTAAAGCACTGATCGTTTAGATTTATCTCCAAAATTTCACCTCTAAGTCTCAATATGGAGATTTCAAATTGCCTAGATTTATCATCAACCAAGATTCATAGGGAATGGTTTGACTGTCCCTTCCTTTTGGACTCAGGGTTGCAAGAGGTCATCAAAGTTCTCTACATTCTCATGGCATGAGGACAGAGTCCAGCCCCTTCCCTAGGCCTACTGAACCTGTTCATCATTTCTTATGCAAATTTTCTCTCCCGCAATTCTCCGTGGGTATCACTCTCCTGGGTAAAATTTTAAATAACATCATTTTATTCCAACCACTTCAGAAGACTTACTGTATGTAGAAAGATGACCAGCCATGTAAATCAGACTCAATAAAATGATCATAGAGCATTTTAGTAAATATTTATTAATCCTCTGCTGTGAGACAGCCTCCGGGGAACACACACAGAGAAGTCGGACTCCACTTCTGTTTCCAAGTGCTTCCAGACCCGGGTGGAGGTGGGGTCCCAGATCATCCGCATTTAATCATCCCACTGAACAATTCTGGACAACTTCATACCACTACATGAGAATGGGTATCCAGGAAGATTGAAGGAAAGATCACTTTTTCTCTCCCTCTCCCTCTGCTACTAAAGTCAATCTATTTGGTGCTGAACCCAGGGTAGAGATGAAAGACTGATTAATTTATTCTCCTGGAATACAGACGATGAGATTAGAGAGCTAAAGTGGATTTGAGAGGACACAGGGCCCAGAGAGGCTGCTGTGTGTCCACAGAGTCTCAGAGAAAGCCGCCGCTGGCCAGCATGGAATGTCTGGGCAGCCTGGTTTCATGATCTGATCAATGTAAATGAATTTAAAGATACAATGAGCTGTCTATGAATGGTGCTGCCTTTATTTTTTTTGCAGACTAATCCAAGCTACAGCAGCCACATACTTACTGCAAAACCTTGGTAAATCCCTGAATTCTGTGGTACTTCTGAATAGGAAGAAGAATGACCGGGGCAATTTCTGCACTCATACCACATGCAGCTTCACGATAGTTTTGAGAAGTTGACTGGACAAAGTCTCTCTTCCTTTTCTCAGTGCATTCATTTGACTTGGCTTTTACCTACAGCACCCTACCACACATTGTCGGCTGTTTCAGCAGTACACGGCACAAGGGAATTAATCTGTCTGCCTCTTCTCTTCTTTCTAACATCTCGAATTCAGAGAGAGAAAAAGGTGCCCTGGATTTTCCCATCAATCCCATTGGGAAAAAACCTTCCTTCTTTCCCCCCATCTCTCCTTCAATGTTCCATTTCCCTGCTCCTTGGAAACTAGAAAACCAGTAATTACAGGCACACTTTGAATTTGTCTTTGCGCCCTCCTTCCGAGAAATTCCAAAGTGTTCACAGATGTTGCATCAAATTCTCCCAGTGTGCTTGCGAGGTCTTGAACATTACAAAGCTACATTGGGAAAGTGCACTGTTTTCAGACACTTCATACTATCGTTGGGGTAAGAGACCCTTAAGACTATCATTGGGGTACTGAAGTAGCAATTTATTGCCAAGCAAAAAAGAAAATATAATCTCCAAAGCATTATCATTATACATAGCATGTATCCTGTTTGCTAAAAAAAAAAAGAAAAAGAAAAAGAAAAGAAAGGTTCTCATGACCCAATTTGTCTTTAAAAGCAAGACAGAGAGAAGATAACGTGAATAGGTCCCTTTTTATACGTGGGAAACTGACAGCAAAGGAAAACTCTCAGGCTTGCTCAAGGTTATACTGAAAGTAGATGCCAGAGCAAAAACAGAACTCAAATGGATGGTTCCCAAATGTTTAGTCACCCAGGATTTCTTCAGTTATACCCATCATGGTCATACGTCTTATGTTTGAAAGAGTGTTGTCTTCCCTACCCCCCGAAGAATCCCACAAACTTTAATTATTAATCCATGTATCTCTGAAATAATTAATTTTACATTTTTAAGTTAATTTTCTAATTAATGGTCTATAAATTTCCCAGCTAGCGCTTTTTGATGAGATCAACCATAACTAAACCAAGTTGCTATGATTCCAGGCAGCAGCAATGAAAAGAGACAGCTTTGTTAGTCTAAGCAGCCTGTCTTTGGGCAGACATACTCTTTCTCTTCAGTTTTTTGAAATGCTGAAAATCGGCCCTGGTCATTCATTGCTCCCTTTCTGAAGTCCTGGGTTCCCTAGATCAGGATCCACTGGACTTACAAATCCCATCACAGTGGTTCTGAGGCTTTTGCATCAGAATCACCCGGAAGGTTTGTTAAAACAGATTCCTGGGTCCTGCTGGCAGAGTTTCTGATTCTCTGGGGCTGGGATGGGTCCCAAGATTGGGATTTCTAGCACATTCCCATTTGATGCTGAGGATGCTGGTCTGGAGGCTGCACTTTGAGAATGCTGCACTAGCCACGCCCCAAGTGTCTGGCTTTTTAATTCTCCCTCTTGGTCCTCTTAGTAGCAATGCACCTGGGATCCCTCCAAGCCTGCAGCTGAATGGTCCCATTAAGAGAAGTCAGGCCCTGCACCAGCCACAGCCCAACACCAGGTACAGCCCTGCTTCTGCTGCCAGAGTCACCCAACTCCAGGGACCCTACACTGTGCTGAGGCGTGACGCCCTTGCCTTCACTGAGTTTTCCGTGACCCCACAGCCCGTTTTCACCTTTTTCTGGGATCCTGCTAAAGGCACGAGGTTAGAGTGGAGAGCAGAGGACTGCAGGAGGGCTGTTCTTATCTCGGGATTCTTTTTCTAAGTTCTAAGTAAGCAAATGTTTATATGCTCAGCGGACCCAAATTAGCCACAGCCGTGGGGACAGAAATAGGCATAGCCCACAACGAAACTCTGAGGCAAGAACACAAATTCCCTTGTGAGGGACCATTAATCTCCCTCCAGGGGGAACGAGTTAGATGTGTGGCTGATTTAATTTACAACAGTATTTTAATTCAACATCCCATGGATTTCTTTTTAAGATTTAGAATCCAAATTCCTTTTCAATCTTAAATGTCAAAGTCCTTTAAATACAGAATTTTGCCGTTTGATACTCCCCAGGCTGGCAGCAGAAGTGGTTTTTTATGCATTTTCCCAAAAGCCAACTGAGAAGTGGGGGGCATCATCGCTTTTGTTGGCCTTCGTGGGAGGTGGTTAAAACCCACAATCTCTGCCGCCACTGAGAAAGCAAATCTCAACCCCAGGGCCATGGCAGGATAGTTTTCCACTGTGTGACCTCAAGCCAGTGCCCCATATAACACCCCTTAACCTCCGAGGAGGAGAGCATGGGGTAAAATGCAGCATGTGGACCTCTTTGGCTGTCTTCCCAAGTCCTTGCTAAATGGAGATAGTTTCTTCCACCCTGTGGCAGAAGGTTCCAGAAGACCTTTGTGCTCCTGGCATCAGAAAACTGGGCTGTGTGAATCATCTCACAGGGGAGTTATTAACACCAAGAAGTGATGAATTGTAGTTCTACGAAGCTGAGATACAGGAAATACAGTGTTTCTTAGAACAATTAGTAAGCTTTGCTAACGAGAATTGAACAGCCTCAGAGACATGAGAACCCGATAAAGTCCTCCTAAACCCCAAGCCCAGTTAAAACCAATTGTCTTTGGAAAGTGAGTGACATCTCAAGATCTATTCATACTATTCCCTGTCAGGGAGTTTCTTGAAGAAAGGGCATGTTATTCTTTTCAACCACTTAATGAGGCCACACGAAGATCGATTCCTTTTCTGGGTTATGTAAGTAATGGAACTACACCAATATACAATACCTAACTAAATGATTACCAGGAGATAGGACAGAGATAAAGACCTATTGATACAGGTTGTATAGATCCACAGTGGCCCACTGGTCTTCAAGCAGACTTTGTATCATAATCCGATTGCTTAGGGGGAAAGGGAGTTGCTTTGGGGAACTCCCTGGACATAAATTCCAACTGCGATCAAATGCAGAAAAAGGCAAGCCTTACTAAGGATGATGACAAGACGCAACTCAAAGAAAACACATGAGCAACACAGGAGAGCTGATCTATTTCTCAAAATCACTGAGTCAGGAGAAATGGGAGAAAAGGGTCATCTAAAAAGGGAGATTTTGCAGAGAAGCTCATTTTAAGAGTGAAGAGCAGAAATCAAAGACAAGTGAAAAACAGTTTCTAGATCAGTGGTATTCAAGTAGCATGTTCATTTTTTTTCACTATAAGAAGGAAAGCCTCTTAATCTTTGGTCCAAGTGAGAAGGATGCCTGTCAACTATATTTGGCACAAGGAAGCCAGATGGGACAATTCTGCACGTTCCTTTGGCAACATTGTTAATGTCAGGGTGAACAGGAAGATTTATAGAGTGTGACTTATTAACTCCCCAGGGAGCATTCTTAAAGGGGATACTATGGCCAGCTAACATTATGGTCTACATCTATGTAGACAGCTGTTACAGTCATAGTAAAACTCTGTATCACGTGATTCATCAAGTTGTCCAGACGTTTAATTTGGGTGGGGGAAAAATCAATGTAGTTCTGTAACTGCTTATCAAGCTCATCACTTATCCTGAAAAGTGATTATTTGTGGCTCCTGACTGAAATTGTTCTGGATTAAGAAAATCAAGGCAAAATGTAGAAATTTTGCAAAATGACAGTCTACTTCTTTACTCAATCAAAGGAGTTTATTAAACCCCCATAAGAGGTGCGAGGAAGTGGTGATGAGGAGGAGGTCATGGGAAGGGAGTGAAGGCTGGCATTCAGTCCAGGTCGTTCATGGCCGCCATGTGCTGTGTACGACTAACCAGTGCCTCTGGCTACTGGTGGTTAATATTTTACATGTCACACCTTGAAAGAGGTTAGAGTTGTCACAGAACCTATGCTCCTAGCCCTAACTGATCCTGGGCAAGTCAATCCATTTCTGTGGACCTCAGTTTCCCCATTCTGTTCACAGTTGGAGTTGACTTCCCTGTCTCCAAGGCTCCTTCCAGCCCTCAAAGTTTGGTTCTCTGCTTCTCACTCAACACCCTTGGTTGCATGTTCCCGATCTACCAGTCACACACTTTATCCAGAGTACAGCCCCTTCCCCCAGTGCACCACCCCACCCCACAGACACAGACCACAGTCATCCCCCGGGCCTTTTGCACTCAAGGGCAGAGCAAAATCAAAGAGGGTGTTAGTTACCCAAGATTACACCTCTCCCTCCGACCAGAGTGTTATTTCTGTTTTCAGTTTTCCACCACCCCCTCTTATTTCCTGCAGACCCTGGAATGCCCTGCCTCTATCACTTCTCTTCTCATTGCACATCCTGCCTCTGCTACTCCCCCTGTTTGAGGCTTCGATTCCACTTCCCACCTCCTATGGCTTCAGGGCTGCTGGTGTCCTCCAGGCCTGTCTTCTCTCATTGCTTGTGGCCTAATAAAGGCACGCACATCCATACTGTGAATAGCTCTGCAAGCACCCTGGCAAAGGCTGTGATGCTGACCGAGGCCCTTAACCTAGCCTCCACTCATGTTTTTGTGTTTCTGTTTCAGCACTGAAACGTCCAACGGAATTCCATGAGCAAAGAAAAAATTTGGATAGTGACAAGGTAATTTTTGCAAATTTCTTGATCCAAACTTAGACTCTAGGTTATGAGTCTCTGAATGCTAACCCTTGGCTGATGCGTGTACAATTTCTACAACAAACTCAATCAATTTGCCAGCCCCTGCCCTCATATCATATGGAATCTTACTCCCATTAACTGATAACTACAGAAATGGGATCAACTATGTTAGCTTTGAAACTGCTATTTTTTAGCTTTTTTTTTTTTATGTCCCAAATCTTTCTAATGTTGGAAGAAATCACAATATGGATGCCCTAGAATTGGCCAGGCACGGTGGCTCATGCCTGTAATCCCAGCACATGGGGAGCCCAAGGCAGGTGGATCACAAGATCAGGAGTTCGAGACCAGCCTGACCAACATGGTGAAACACGATCTTTACTAAAAATAGAAAAATTAGCTGGGTGTGGTGGCACGCACCTGGAATTCAGCTTCTCAGGAGGCTGAGTCAGGAGAATCGCTTGAACCTAGGAGGTGGAGGTTTCAGTGAGCCGAGATTGTGCCACTACACTCCAGCCTGGGTGATAGAGTGAGACTCCGTCTCAAAAAAAAAAAAAAAAAAAAAAAAAAAAAAGATTCACTATAATCAAAAAACACTTTAGAGGGGGAAGTGAAGTTGGCTTTCAAGCTTCCTTACCTTTCGTTACTGTCATTTCTTAACAACAATCAGGTTTTTAAATATCCAATTTAATGGTAAGGCATGGTTTATGGATACAGAACTTATTTGTAGCTATTTAAAGGCAAGAGGAATTATGCTTATTTCCCTTTTTTGGTAACATTTGAGGGGGACATTTGGCATTCTGTACTTTCATAACAAATCTCTGCAAGCTGAATTTGTCAATAATATATTAATAAATACTATTTAGCAAGTATCAACACTTTGAGTGAGAAGGAAAGGCAAAGAAAGCATCTACCCACCGGTGTTTCCTTGCCTGAGAGTAGTAGTCTCGCAACTTGTCTGTGGGTAGAGAGGAAAAGGAGGGATCTGTAACTCCTCAATGTAGCTCACAAGTGGCTGTGATTCCTACTACCTCGAGAAGAACAAAGAACAGCAGACTCTTTTATCAGAATTGAAGTGATTCCCAGACCCCTCTCAGGGGGCCGCTGGGAGATCCATTATAGTGAGATAAAAACGCAGAACTGGACATCAGAAACCTGGGGTCCAGTGTTGGCCCTCCCACAGCCCACAACAGCCAAGAAGATAATGCAACTGGGTAAATACCCTGTCTCACCATGCCCTTCCAACGCACGGTGGGTCTGCGACTGCAGGCTTTACATTTTTACGTGTCCTAAAAGAGAAGTCAGGCAAGTAACGGGAGAGAGGCATACATTGTCGTGTTGTATTAGACGGATTTAGGCAATGTTTTAGCTCTGATCTTGGTTAGTTTTGTGACTATTTTCAGTGGAAATGGAGGCTGGGTGCTGTGGCTCATGCCTGTAATCCCAGCACTCTGGGAGGCTGAGGCGGGCAGATCGCTTGACTCCAGGAGTTGAAGGCCAGCCTAGGAAACATGGTGAAACCCTGTCTACTAAAAATAAAAAAAATTTTTTTTTTTTTAAATTAGCTGGGTCTGGTGGTGCACGCCTGAAGTCCCAGCTACTCATGGGACTAAGGCAAGAGGATCACTTGTGTCCAGGAGGTCAAGGCTGCAGTGAGCTATGATTGTGCCACAGCCTGGATGACAGAGACTCTGTCTCAAAAACAAACAAACAAACAAACAAAAAAAAAAGCAATGGAATAGGATCGATTATAGTACAAGCACCCTAGTATCCTAAGGGTTATAGGAGCATTTTATTAACATGTCCCAACCTGCCTGTCCCTCAAAGAGCTATAGGTTTGTAGCCCTGCTGCGGACCCAGGCTCTTTACCTTCTTATCTTATTTTCCCATCTAAAAATGACTTGAGGGGTCTTTGTAAATATTCCTTCATCAAACTGTGAGACACCAAGAATATTTCCATGTTTCATTTATCATTTTAAAAGGTTATTTTCTCCTTTGAGATAAATAGAGTGTTTTTAAAAAGGTAAAACTAGGTGATTCTCTTTGTTTGGGTTCTACAGGCTAAAAATTCCCTGAAGCGGAAAGCCAGAAGCAGGTGCAACAGTGCTGACTTGGTTAATATGCACATACTCCAAGGTAAGGCTGCAGGAAGTCATAAACCAAGAGATGCTGTAGAATGCTGGGGTGTTTTCCCTGAGCCCCCCGTCTCTGTATAGTTGCTAAGCCCTCTTAAAAATCTCCCTTGCCATTACAAAGTGGTAGTTTCAAGTAATCGTCTAAGCCTTCTGGGCCATGTAGATAACCAAGTTGGGAAGCCATAAAAGGATTAAGCAGGTTAGAGACTCGGACTCTAATCTCAGCTGTGCCATCTCCTACCTGTAAGGCCTGGGCAAATCACATAACTTCTAAGAGTGCGTGGAACACATCTGACATGTGCAGACTATTGTCATTAATCCGGACCATCACTGACTTTGGAAGGGGATCATGGTTCCCTTGTTGCCTCTGTATCCTCCAGGTAACTGATTGGGCTTTGCTGATGCCTTTACCTTCAGGTATGCAGGGAATGACAATCTGAGAAAATTAGTGCTGATCAAAGCAGGTCTAGTTCTGCCTTACAATGCCACCTTTGTGCTGGGGTGTGTGAGACAAAGCAGGCACCTAATTGGTTCCCATATTCTGACATCTGGATGCAGGAGAAGAGGCTCCTACTCCTGCCTCATGAGTTGCCTTCCCTGGGACAGAATCCCCCAGACCACTGGTGTGCACCCTAAAAGAGGTCCAACCCCTAATTTGACAGTTACCTATGGGATATTTATTCCTTGAACACACACTGTATTGGGTGTGTGCTAGGAGTTGGCTCTGCTGCCAGGCCAGTGGATTCAACTATAAATAAGACACAGGTTTGTGCCCTCAGAGGGTCTCAAGTATAACAGAAGACATGAGAACCACATTTACAATTGTTATATGTAAAATGTTGATGCTGCAAAAGAAATAGCACTAGAATATAAATTCTCTCAGCAAGGCAATTTACTTCTATAGAAGGGTGCATCTCACGGATGGAGCAATGGTGAGTGCACACCTGAACAGGGGAGGGGAAGAGGGTCTTACCCCTGACACAGCCCCTACTGCTGTGTTGTTCCCCTATTGGCTAGGGTTAGATTGCACAGTCAAAGCTAATTCCTGCTGGTTATTTTAAAGAGAGCAGGGGTATAAGCCAGAGTAGCAGGGTGAGTGGTTTAGCAGGAAAAACAGTTATGGAACAGGTAACTAAAGGTGACTCAGGTCAGAGCAGGTGACTGGGATGAGTCAAGACTGAGCAGGTGACTGGAACAGGTGACTGGGATGGGTCAGGACAGAGCAGGGAATTGGGGAAATAGATGAGAACTACTGATTAGTACTGGTGGAAGAGGTTGTTTACTGAAACTACAAGGAATTTAAACTTTAAAATGGAGGTAGAAAAATTGAACATACTGACATACTTATTCTTTGAAGAGAAATTTAGAACTCATCGTATCCAACGCAATCCAGCATGAAAAGAGAGGAAATGCATAGTGTGGCGGGTGCATGGAAGAGATCAGAGAAAACAGCCATCTGAATCAGAATGGATGGGGGAGGAATGAGGATATGGCTGGAATGTGAGGGCTGAGCCAGGTAGAAAAAGATGGAAGGGTGTCACAGTCTGAAGGAACAGACTTAACAAGGCAGGGATCATGGCCACCTCCAGGTGGATGACTCATTTGCATAATAAAAACTAGGGTGGGAGGACCAGTCCTTTCTCAGGCTATGTAAATGAAACACCTGGTCAACCAATGCCCTGGGCCCTGTGTAAATCAATCACCGCCTCCTCAAACCTCGGTACAAAATCGATTGTTCTGCCACAAACCGGAGACCCTTCTTGGGCTACCCACTTTCTCAGCATGAGGAAGCTTTTCATCTCTCTTCTTTTTCTACTAAACTTTCTGCTCCTAAACCCACTCCTCGTGTGTATCTGTGCCCTGAATTCTTTCTCGACCATGACAAAGAACCAAGGTATATACCCTAGACAACAGAGCCATTTCAATACCATAGAGCTATTACAAACAAGGCTTTCAGAGAGTGATTTCACGAGAAAAGATTTACAAGACAATGTTTCATGAAAAGAGCGAAAAACAAAACTATATTTGCTGCCAAATTCTGGGAAGAAAAATTATATACTTAAACTATATTCATCGTCAGATTCTGGGAAGAAAAACAAACCTACCAATCAATGTAAATAAGAAAGACATACAAATCTTAAAAAATAGGTGACACTAAGTGGGGATTTTCCTGAAGCCTTCATTTTTTTTTTTGCACACATTTTTAGCATTTTTCACATTTATGACAATGAGGGCACAGTAATGCTATAACCAAAAACATATGAAATGCTATTTCCTCCATCATTATGGTCTTGAATTAAAATATCAGGGTGTGAACTGCACCAACCCCCCTTCAATTGCATGTCTCTGGTGCTTCTTATGGGATCCCCTTTTGTCAATAGAAATTGGGAATTCACTTCTTAGACCATAAAAGATCTGCTAGATAAAAAATGACTCCTGCTGCCCAGGAGTTTATTGTCCAATTTCAGAAGCAACAAGACGAACTGTTCGTGCTTCTAACTGCTAGAGGCAGTCAAAGCAAAAGGGATCTGTAAGAACAGAAAGAGTTAGGAAAGCTTTATGCTGGGACCCAAAAGTAAGATGTTGGTAGTGGGGAGTGGGGAAGAAGTTTAAGGTGGGGAAAGGAAATGAGCCAAGGTGCAGAGGTGAATTCGGCAAGACATGGAAGACAGAAGGACAAGGACCAGGCTCTCTGGAACAGTACATTTGAGCTAGAGAGCCACCAGCCATGATAGGAGGTAGATTACCTTTGTAGCATTCTTGAAAAACTGGACTGAGAGACTTAGATGGTGGGAAGGATCTTGTGTGGAGGCATATGAAGAAAGGAGGGCTTTCTGAAGATCAGTCCTGAGTTGGTACACAGGATGGGTCAGAAAGATCGCTGAGGCAGAGAGCTAGCAAGCTGCCCTCACAAGGAACTGTAAGGGGTGTTTTGGCAATGACATGGACTTTGGAATGCTCATTGTTTGGTTTGGAGTATCAACATTCCCTCCATTTAATGTGAAATGCTTAGAAGAGGCAGCTTTCACAGCTAAACCTGGGGCAACCGATGAGACATCCCTAGACCTGTTCTGTATGGAGAGTTCTAGATCAGTGCCAGACACAGGGTCTGGGTTAGCAGGTTGATAATAATAAAATAATGGAGCTGAGAGACTTGTCTGTAAATATCTCACTTTCTAGGTTTATGAAGTTGAAAGTAAAGCTGCAAACGCTTATAGAATCTTCACTTAAGTTCTCCATGAGAGCAGTACGTTGGCTGGATTCTCCTCTGAGTTCTTCCACAGAAATAAGCCAGGGCCCAACCTAAAAAGGAATTTTGGTATCAGCTGTATCGAAGTGGATTTAAGGCTTTGTTTGTGACCTTTCACACCCTCCAAATGATGAGAAACTGCCTGGAGAGGAATTCAACTTTTAAAAATCCCCCTGTTTAATTAAATAACTATTTCAATGGATTTTTTTTTCCTTTCACAACTGACCTGGACGTTTGACTCAGTCGGTCACAGCACTGACTAGTCCAAAACTCTTTAAAAGTCATACTAGTACTACTAATTATAACAACAGATAACATTTACTGCGGGCCCAGCCCGTGCCAGTCACTATGAAGACCAAATGTGTGTCCGAGGGCCATAGCTTAGGGTCAGGCAAAAAACACAGGCCCTGCACACTGCTTGCTTACAAAAATCTCCAAATTGCACATTTTTCCGCAAATCCTCACAAAGCAAGCTTCTCTAGCTTTTCGACATGCCTCTCTATTTGCCTTTATTTGGAAGTGTCTAGGCTTTGGTGCTAATCCCTGTAAAGTGATGATGATTGCATCGAGAAATTATTAGATGGTAGAGCACAGTGTGACACAATCTTTTGTAACCACAAGCCAAAAAAACAAAAAAAGAGAGAGAGAGAGACAGCAAATTCTAGAACTGATCCTTTTCCTTTCAACCCTTTAGCTTCCACTGCAGAGAGGTCCATTCCAACTGCTCAGATGAAGCTGAAAAGAGCCCGACTCGCCGATGATCTCAATGAAAAAATTGCTCTACGACCAGGGCCGCTGGAACTGGTGGAAAAAAACATTCTTCCTGTGGATTCTGCTGTGAAAGAGGCCATAAAAGGTAGTTAGAACAAATGACATGTCTCTCCTTGGTGCTTTTGAGATCTGAGGGCAGCCTGAAGCTCTGATATACTAGGACCTTTGGGGATGAGAGCCTCTCACCAGACAAGAGCCATACTATGGGTTGTTAGTCCAGTTGATTCTCCATAGCCAGAGATTCTGGGTGTTTCTTGCAATCCCCATTCATGTACCTTGCAAGGCCAAGTCAACACGGGCTAATTTTGCTCTGGTCAGGCAAGTTGAGAACCTGACCGGGTGTAATCCTTAAAACATCTTCCCCACAAGATGTCCATCACTTACGAGTCATAGTCATGGTCCTCTTTAGCCTTCCTTATGTATGTATGTATGTATGTATGTATTTTGAGACGGAGTTTCACTCTTGTTGCCCAGGCTGGAGTGCAATGCCACAATCTTGGCTCACCACAACCTCCACCTCCCTGGTTCAAGCGTTTCTCCTGCCTCAGCCTCCAAGTAGCTGGGATTACAGGCATGCACCACCAAACTCGGCTAATTTTGTATTTTTAGTAGAAACAGGGTTTCTCTATGTTGGCTAGGCTGGTCTTGAACTCCCGACCTCAGGTGATCCACCTGCCTCGACTTCCCAAAGTGCTGAGATTACAAGTATGAGCCAGCTCGCCCAACCAAAGCCTTCCTTATTTAAAGAAAGGTGGACTGTAATAGCAGAAAGAGCACTGGCCCCAGACTAGAAAACTTAGATCCCAAGCCCAGGTACCCAAGTCACCTCACCTCAAGATGGAGGTAATAACATCCATCCTGCCCAGCTTACAGGCTCCTGGGAGTGCAGTTCGTGGTAAACAATGCAGGTAAAAGCTCAGAAAGCTCTCACTTGCTCCAAGAAGTCAAAGGACAAATATTCAAAAAGGAGACCGAAATATTGATTCTGTCATAAACTGTATAAAATCATTTGGTAGACTTTTTGAACAGTTGATAGTAGGGGGACCCAAACAGCCTGCCAGGACTGAATTCACTCATAGAGGTTTTGGGGTGGAACCCAGGAAAACAGGGAGAAAGGGGAGATTAACCTTCCCACAGGCACGCTTATTTTCTGCAGCTATGCCCGCAATCCACTCGGAGAACTATTGGTAGATGTTAATAAGCAGTGTATATTTAAATGTTTTGACACACTGTCAAAAAGTATGTCTAAGGGCATTTTATCCAAAACTAAGTTTATTATAAAACTTGTCATCAAGTTTATTCACATTCTAAAATCTTACTCTCACCCAGTGATTCAGAGGCCACATGAATTTTGCCTTTGGAACCCGTAAATATGAAAATATCAACTCCAGGAGAGGCAATATCCTCATCCATCAGTGCCCACTTAAATATCTCACTTGATTTTCTCTCTACTCTCTCTCCCTCTCCACTAAATATCCTGTGCCTTTGAACTTGACCTTGAGTGTCCAAGGGTGCACTGCCTTCATCTTTACTCTGATGAGCTCTTGGGTAGATAAAAATCTTCATTGGGCATCTCTTACCGTTTCTTAAAATAGTCTGCTCCATTCACGTAAGTTTATTTACTTACTTTTCTTTTGTTGGGTGCATGTATATTTATGATGTAATTTTACATGATAGGCAAAAGATCTCTTTCTAATTTGCATTCTTTGGTTTCTAGTGAGATTATATTTTTCCTTGTGGTTATGCATCATTGGCAGTATGTGGTTTTTCCTCTTCTTTCCTGCTGAGCGTGCTCTTGCTTTACTGCTTTGTGTATGCTATTTATATAGGAAAAACATGCTACTCCTCCATCTGTCACAGGATTCACATCCTTTTACCAATGTGTCCTTTACCTTTTGATTTTTTTGTATAGTGTGATTTACCTATAGCGGTTCCTAATCATTGCATAGTCCACTCATCTTTTTCATTATATTTTCTGAATTCATTTTTATTGAAAATATTTTCTAATTCAAAAATAAGAGTTTATTCACTTAGATTGTCTTGTTATATATATATATATATATATATATATATATATATATATATATATATGTATAGATATACTTTTATCTTTACATTTAAATCCTTAGTGTGTCTGAAACTATTTAAATGCTTGGTTTAAGAAAGAGGTTTAATTTTATGCTTGTCACAATTTTATGATCTATTTTACAATTTGCATTCATATCTGTCTTCCCAAGTTTCTTTACATTTGTCCGATTTTTTCTAACGTTTCATAGCTACTCTTGCAAGTATATCTTAAGTGAAAATTGGCCTCAATTTTTTGTGTCAACTTCAATTATATTGCAATTTTCTTTAGAATTGCAGTGAATTTATAGGTTAATTTATGGTGAATTCATTTTTAAAATATATGTGTGTAAATTATTCCATAGTATCTTTCTCCACTTATTCAAGTCTTTTTTAATTTCCCTTTGCAAAGTTTGTTGTTTTTAAGTAAAGTCATATTGGTTATTGCTGACATACGGGAAACCTATTAATTTCACACATTTAATTTATAACTGGGCAGTATCAAAGCTCTTCTTAATAGTTCCAATAGTTTCTCAGTTTATCATAAGTTTTCTAGGTCTAAAGGAATAAAAGTCGGTTTTCAGCTTCATTTTTATGTTCTGTCTTGGTTCACTGGCTGGTACTTGAAAAGCAACAACATGAGTAGCATATCATAAAATTAATATAATTTCTAAAAGTCTCTGTAGTATATTAATAAAATAAATTACATATAATGTTTATGTATTTTATTTCTGAATATATCATATTATTTATAAATTATATAAATTATATATTATAAAGTATAATAGACTATATATTATACAAACCAAATAATATGTATCTTATATAAAATATCTATATCATATAGATGTTTATCTTACATATAAAATTATGAATTATATAAAGCTTATTTAATAAATGTTATATAATATAAATTATATTAAGTTTATATTATGCAATAAATGTTACTATATAATTTAATAATTATTTGTATATTACATAGTAGAATACCATTATTGTTAGTACCTTGCCAGTGCCTCAAAAGCAATATTATATTACATTTATTCTATTATACTAACGTTGCCTTATGTTTTACATTATGTGATAATGTGCTATGTTGATGATTACATACATTTTTTTTGTTGTTTCTCTCTTAAATGGGGATTTCTCTAGTCATTCACATCTGTATATGATGTAGCCTTTGGTAAAGGAAAGATATTCTAAGGAAATATTTCTCTATTCCTGTCCCACTAAGAGTATTTTGCAAGACGGATGTTGAGTTTTTTAAATGCTTGCAAAGCATGTGAAAAGATGATGATGTGGCTTTTCTTCTTTGACCACGTAATGTGGTATTTTCACCTTTCCTAATCTTGCTTAAATTTCTAGGGGGAAAAAGATCTCTTATTAATTTGGTTTCAGAAATTGCTAGTGTTTTATTTGGGATTGTGCATCTATTTTGTTATTAGTTAGGATAACGCTAGCTGGAAAACAAACCACAAAACTTCAACAGCTTGACCAGAAAGGTGTATTTCTTGCTTGGAAAGAGTTCAGAGAGGCATTTCCTCCATGAATAGCCTCCTTCAGTCTTGATGCACCACCATTCCCTACAGTGAGGGTGGCACTTTTTCTGAAGGGAGCAGATAATACATACTTGAAACTATCTCTGTCACTACTCAACTCTGATGTAGCAGGAAGGTTGCCATGGGCAGTAAGTAAACAAATAGACATGACTATGTTCCAATAAAACTTTATTTGCAAAAACAGGCAGGCACACAGGCCTTAGTTTGTCAATCTCTGCCCTAGAGCTTTGTCATCCTCTGAATGTATCCAGCAAAGGGGGAAGAAGGCATGAGAGGGTTCATCCACTTATTAAAAGGTCTCAACCTGGAAATGAACACATCACTTGCACTCACATTCCATTGTGAGAATAGTACATACAGCTGAGAAAGGTATTCTCTGGCTAAACAGCCATTTCCAGCAGTCCCTCTATATTATGGAAGGGGGATCCTGGCTTTTGATAAGTAGCTAGTCCTGTCTGCCACAATATTCATAAATGATGCTGGTCTATGACATTGTTTTAGTTTTTCGGATTTAAATGTCAAAACTGTAAATACTTCACAAAATAGTTTATAATTACCTATTCATATTTTTTCATGTCCTGGAAGCATTTACATATGATCACAATGATTGGTTGCTTAAAAACATTGCTTACTAAAATCATAGGCAACCACGGAAATTAAGAAACCAGTACCTTTCCCGGAAGTCGTTCTTTGAAAAGTTGTTTTTGAATTTTGTCCATAATTATTTGTGCAATCAAATTTTCTCTTTAATTTGTACAACTTCCAAGATCACGCCATTGCACTGCAGCCTGGGTAATAAGAGCGAACCTCCGTCTCAAAAAAAAATTTTTTTTTGTAAAACTTACCTATTACTAACAATTCTCACACCTTCCTGAATCTTAAAGTTATTAGCCTCAAGTAGTATTCAGTATTGGCTCCCAATTTTTCTAAGTGTCTGTGAACCTGGGCGTAGACTTCAGTTTTTCATTCTAAATGCTGTATATTTGTATATTCTCTTCCTTCCTCCCTCTCTTATTATTACACTAGTTAGAAGTTTTTAATTGATTATCATGAAGAAACAACTTGTGGCTTTATTCATAAATTTTGTTGGTCGCATATCTTTTCTCTAATTCAAGTTTGCTTTTTTTAGTCAAGGCGATTGAGGAGGAAAATCACCACAAGGAGAATGAGGTTCAGGAATATTAATCTGGCTGCGGGTGCATGGGAAGGAAGGTAGAGGGAATGTTTTAAAATGATGGGCCAGAAGCAGTGACTCATGCCTGTAATTCCAGCACTTTGGGAGGCCAAGGCGGGCTGATCACTTGAGGTCAGGAGTTCGAGACCAGCCTGGCCAGCATGATGACATCCCCTCTCTACTAAAAATACAAAACAGCCGGGCATGGTGATGCACACCTGTAGACCCAGCTGCTTGGGAGGTTGAGGCACAAGAATTGCTTGAACCCAGGAGGTGGAGCTTACAGTG